ATCACAGGCTCAGCCCAGCAAGATGGAGCCAACTGAGCGGCCAGCTGGCAGTGAGATTGGCACTGGTTCTTCCAAGAAGAGATTCAGAGACTAGAGCTTCAGCATCAAGCTTAAACGCGCAGGAAACAAAAATGCTGTTCTTCAATCAGAATTTGTTCTGACTATGTTACGAGCCTACTCACATACCATTGAAAGGGTTGTTTCACATAAAATTTGGCCCATGGCCGCCAGGTGGCTCCATCCAGTCCGCATGGCTTGGATCTTATATCCATTTCAAGTTTGAAACAAATTGGAAGATACCAGTTGTGTGCGGGCCAAGGTTGAACGTGATGAGTTTTGCGTTTCTGTCCTCAAGTCACGGCAAGCCGATGGCCTGCTGGAACAATGCCCGATTTCAAACGACGTTCTGACGTACCAGCCGCAAGGTGATGATCTTGCTGCTGAAGTACTGACAGCTGGCTTCCCTTGTCAGGCTTGAACTTGGATTAATTCTGGAAGTGGGGTTGGGAACTATCATTCTTGTACGCTCCACGAAAAAAGTTCTTGGTTCATCCGGTGCCAGGGCGTCAGCGCTGCAGGGAAGCAGCGTGGGCTTCGTGACTCTCGGTCATCGCTCCTCTCCCAGCCTTTCCGGGTTTTCGACCTCCTTCCTCGTGAGTCGGGCTCCCAGCAGGACTCAGCTTGGATTTTTTTGACGCTATTTGATGCTTGTTGGTTCGTCAATCTTCTTCAAGCTGTTTGCTGAGTCAAGCGATCCTCTTGGAAAACGTTCTGGCATTGCTCTCCTGTCAGCAGAGCACTCGCCAGATGTTTGCCTACATTGTCAAGGAGCCTAATGCTTTCCTTTGGTTTGTACATTCATTTTCAGAATTTTTGGCTTCCCTCGCCAGGAGGCCCGGCGACGAGGATTGCGGCTGAGATGGACCGTTACCAGGCTGTGCAATGTAGGATTATCAGCCGTGTCCTTAGTACCTGACTGTGGCAGGTATGGTGCAATGTCCTATATCATCACAATGTCAAGTCTTTGGAATTTCTGAAGGCATGCAGGGGCCGAGTCTTCATTCTGGCGACAAAGCCTGGCTTCAGATTTCCGGACTTCAGCTGCCGGTGGGCGGGCCATGAACTGCGCCAACAAAATTCCAGTGTGATGCAAACATTTTCTCTCCCTGATTTTGACCACGGGTGCATTTAGTTGACATATACCCGCAAAATATCCAGTTTTGATTGGCAGATGTTTGAACAGCTTTGCTCTTCCCCAGGAGCAAATGAACTTCAAGGAGATTGACATTGCCCAGCCGTGGAACAAGGATGCCAAGATTCCGTTACACCTCTGGCTGCAAAGCGGCCAAACAGAGGAAGATGCAAAACGCCTGAAAACAATGGGCAATATTGTAGTACCATTTCAGGCTGTGAAGGCCCTTGGCTTGCTTGTGCAGATGGAAGCAGTGGCGGATCATGCTTGAGCGCCAAGCATGGCAGGGCTGCTCCCCACAGGTTCAGAAGTAAAGACCAACATTGTTACAGCTTGTGTTCAGCATCATTGGCTGTCAGTTCAACATGTGGTCCAGCTTGCCTGCTTGCATTTAATTCATTCTGATTGCTTGCGGTCGAGCCAGCAAGTTTGCTGCTGGTTGGCTGGAGTTATTCTTTCCTATGCGTATCAGTGCCAGTCTCAGATTGTGCGACTGTTGAAATGTGATCACTTTGGTTTGTTTGGGGCGTTCTTTTGAAACTTGAAACGGGTCCTTTTTCAAATATAAATGGTAGCCTTTATCATCCTTTATCTATATCCCTGTTTGGTTGAGGTGCTGGCTTGGATCATACCCTCCTGCTCCGGGAGGCTTGGACCTGTTTAGTGAATTGAGCAATTTTTAAAATTTCTGTTGCCGTACTGATTTTGTCAGTGAATTTTTATTAGAAATCTGTTGCCAGGAAGGCATCAGCCTTTGGCATTGCGAAGCTTCAGGACTAGCCTGTGAATTTGACTCATTGCAGCTGGCCGCAGTTTCAGACCAGTCAACCAACCCTGTGAGTTCTATTCATTGCAGCTGGCCGCAGTTTCAGACCATTTCAGACCAGTCAGCCAGCCCTGTGAATTCCAACCTGGTGAATTTTATTCATTGCAGCTGGCCGCAGTTTCAGACCAGTCAACCAACAGTGGCCGACCCAGTTCCTTCATTCTTCCTAGTAGCCATGGATGGGGTCATGCAGGTGAGAAAGAAGCGCAAGCAGCTGGTGCTGCAACTGGACTACTTAAAGTCTTTGGTAAGATTTTGATATGCTATGATCGTTTTGTGACTTGCTGTTTCAGGGAACCGGGAGCAAACATAATGGAAAGTTAGCATTCCAAGTCCACATGCAAAGAAAGCAAAGAAAGCTGGGATAAGAATTACTTGAAGAGCTGGGTGAAAAAGGACGTTGCTAAGGTGTAAGAGCAAATGGGTCATCAATGCGAACTTTCTTCTCAGATCAAGACAGAAGCTCCGCAAAGCGCTTGCCAGTCAGAGACGTCTTGACCAGCCCCGAAGAGCAGACTCAGAGGAAACCCTAGAAGTTCCTGCTTTTGATGAGATGAGGACGGAACTTGAGGATGAGTCTGATTCTGATGTCTCTTGTAGTATAGTTCATGTTGCACTGCACCCTTCTTTGTTCTGGACGGATCGACAGCCAGACACGTCCGAGATGGAGCTTTGCCATCATTCTGAACTAGATTTAAATGTTGATGTTGCAAGCCTCCAGGCAAGGTCTGAGGCTCGGCCAGTGTTGAGGCGAAGCTTTGCCACTGACTTTGACTGACCTGTCTTTTCATTTAGAAATTTGACGCCGTGGGGAAGGCGTTAAAAGTTCAATGCTCCATGTTCCTGGAATGTCTAACGTGCTGCCTCTTGAAGAGTGGACAAGTGACTTCACAGTTTTTGCCAGGTAAATTGTTTGCAGCATGGAAGCACGGAGCCTGCTCCAATGCAGCAGTGTCAGTTGTCGACATGAATAGTGTGGCTTGTATGGATGTTCAACATGCTGAAGTTTGGAACCTATGGTGGTCACATCTCGCAGTCACAGCTGGCAGCTGGTAGTGCCCAAGGTTTGACACTTCTCAAGTTGTCTATCACCCATGTCTGGGCCATCGCATGCGCTTGTTATGAAGAAATGCTGGGCCGAGCAAATTCTTTGCCATGGAAAGGTGATTGAGCTCAGGGGATGCTCCACCACTAGAAGAGGCAAGATTGCCATAGCATCTGGTGGACTTTTGATGGGCGAGGTGGAGGTGAACGATTGCTTCCTGGTTGCGGCCAAGAATAAAGCTGGTGAACTCGAAGATTGTTACCCGTACTCTTTGAAGAACATGACACATTTACACCAAGTTGAAGACTTCTCGATCCTCAAGGGCTACAAGAAGGTGTTTGCATGGGCATTGAGGAACCCAACACTTTATGAAGTTGCAAAACCATACTCGCACCCCCGGGGAGCTGTGATCTGGGTGAATCTCCGTCCTGAGCCTAAGAAGGCGGCAGACAAGAGCATGAAGCCGAAGAAGATTTCCAAATCCAGCAAGAAGTAGTTAGTTTTTCTCTCAAGCCTGGAAGCGCACCAGTCTTTTAAGCCTGGGAAGTTTCACATTCCAGGGGGGTTGGATGAATGCCAGCGCAGGCATAGATCAAAAGATGTGTTTGAGGCAAGGTTTTTGAATTTCTCAGCTCAATGATCCGTTTGACTGGTTCATTCCAATCGTTTCTATTCTGTCTTCCGCTGGCCTTCGCCAGGACGTGGCTGGACTTTTGCCATCCATCTATGTTGCAGGAACCTCAAAGTTTTGAGCCAAACCTATTAAGTTTGCAGGGTGGCTTTCAAGCTGTGTGCCTCCGTTGCTCATCCCCGGAACCAAGGCCAGGGATTTTTCTTGATGGCTTGAGTGCTTTCACCTCAGAACATCAGTTGTACATGTGGTTGATTTCCGCTTTAACTTCACTTGTCACCCAGCAGTCAGTTTTTGCTTCTTTCTTGATTTCAGAAATAGAGTTGGCTGCGCAGCCAATCTTGGCTCTTCGAGCTGTCACGTGATGGGCTCGTTTCACAATGCTATTCTATTCCATATTGCATTCGATCTCAATTTTATTGCAGCCATGGTTCGTGTTTGGGTATGAGTGCGTTCCTTGTATGAGTGCTCCAGTGTCAGAAGCATTATTTGCCCCAGTGGGCACCCTGAGTGATGAGTCTGGGGATGAAGTTCCTGCACAAAAGCCTGGGGCCAAACGTCGTAAACCCAAACGGCAAAAGCAGCTTCCAGTTGATGATGGATTCAGAATCCGGGGCATGCTGGGAAATCCGAAATGTCACTGCAAACACAAGTGTTTGCTGCAGTTCACTGGCACCGCTTCCTTTCAAGAGCTTGAGAAGTTTAGAAAGGATTGGGCTGGTTTGCATAAACTTGACCAAGATACCGTGGAACCTCGATGCAGGTTCTTAGTGAACATTCTTTAGGTGTTAGTTGGTGGTCCTGGTGTTTCCTTCAATTTTTTTTTGCTTTTTAGGCTCACCAGTTTTACAATTTTCCTGTTGGTTTGCCACCCCAAGAAAAGGCCCCCACAAGTCCACACACAATAATAGCATTTTTCTTAGGGGTGTGGACTTGTGGGGGGCTTTTTTGGGGTGCCAAACCAACAGGTAAATCACCGGTTTCCTCATTGTCCCCGTGCCCAAGGCATTTGACAGAATCCGTCAAACTTTGTCGGCGTCACAAGGTGGTGACAGCGGTGGGTCTGAGGATAAACCCGATGGTGAGAAAAAGGTGGCCCGGACAGCTTGGAAGTTTCTTGGGCGATCTGTGTGCGTGTCTGCTTGGAAGAAGCTCCACGGATTGGGCACCCAGCCTTCATTAGCCCGTACTTAAATGAATGGGTTTCCTTGGGGTCTAAGGGTTTTGGGCAACCCAAAAAATAATCAAGTTGTCGCTGGTTTCCATATTTTGTTGTTTTGACGAATGTCTCAATCATTGATATGTCATGACAAATCCATGGGACCCAGGGTCTCATCGGTTTGGGCGGCTTATTGAAGCTGCAAGACGTGGTGACATTGTTGCCCCTGCTGACCTCCGCTACTTGCAAGGGCTGCCAAAACAAGGGGCCAAAGAAACTGATACGAGCCGCGCAAGAATTGTGAGTTTCTTGCGGGGGGTCTATGAAAGCACAGCAGAAACCCTCCCAGATGTTCGTGATGACACATACGACGCGGATGAGGCTGTCTCTGTTGGCTTGGTAGTGCCAGAATTGCAGGACCCTTATGCTGAAACACTTGGCGCTGGTCCGGAGCCAGTAGTTCAAGCCGGTAAAAAGAAGAAGGTTCATTCCAAAAAGTTCTCGATCACACTGAACCCAGATCGGAAGGCCGCTTTTGAGGGGCAAGAAAGATTCCTGCCACCTGGGTCCATGAAGGATTATTGCGAACAGTTCAATGACGTGCACCCTCGTGCACATGATGAGCGCCCCGTCTCATTTACAACTTTCTGGAAAGTTTGGCACCAGGAGTTCAGTTTTATGAAGTTTCGGGCGGCTTCCAGTCACTCCATGTGCGCAACCTGTTTAAAGCACAAACTTCTCATCCGTGCTATGTGCGGACACCTCCTAGCAAGAAAGCAGCAGGTCCAAGCCTATGCGGCTCACTTGCGAGCCCAATATCAAGATCGGCTCACTTATTGGGATATCCGCGGTGTGTCCAGAGACCGCACGCCGTTTGAGGTGTGTGCCATCATCGATGGTATGGACCAAGGCAAGTTTGCATACCCAAGGTCAGATTTATTCAGGTCAAAAGACCTGAGTGGCATGAACCGGCCCCGCGCACATATCGCTGCCAGCATTCTTCACGGAAGAATGGTGGTTTTTACAGTGTCACCTGCAGACCTTCCGAAGGATGCTAATGCCTCCATCGAAACGACAGCTCACTGCATTCACCTTCTCTCTCAGATGGTTCCGGTGTCCAGGATGGTGCTGAGCATACAGAGCGACAACACCCCTAGAGAGGTAAAAAACAACCATTACCTCAGATGGTTGTGCTCTTTGGTATCACACGGTGCCTAGCTGGATGACAGTGTGATTGGCAATGGTTACCTTGTGTCCCCCTTCTTTCTTTTCGGCGGGTGATAAACCCTGATCGATCGAGCTCCCATCCAAGGCATCATATATGCAGCTCGGCTACGGCATTTAAGATCTGGCCACAGTCACGAAGATGTGGACCAACTTTTTGGGCGGGTTGCATCACATTTGGCTAGGAGAGCTCGAAATGCAATTGGCCCCCCTGAGTTCAAGGAGATTATCCAAGATTTTTTGGACAATCGGTTGAGCCGGCCTCATGAGCCCGAAAGGCATGCGGTCCTCTTGGACCAGTGCCGCGACTGGTAGCTTTCCAAAACATTAGTTCAAACATGTTCAAACGATGATAACGATGTTTTTAAGGGACAGCACTTTTCCGACGCCATGATCACAAGAATGCACATTCAGTGTGACCAGCAACTCAGGCGTGCTTACTTGCAAACTGGCGTGCCCGTGCATTTGACTGGCATTGGTGGACCTCGCGCACCGCATGTCTTTGAGTTCGATCGACGTTGCAACTTGGGAGACTCTGTTGCATGGGTCAAGTCTTTCCCTTACTTTGTGTATTCACATTGCTGATGATTCCTGTTTTGCTTTCCGTGGGTGGGCGAATGTGTTCGAAAATTGTTTTCGGATCCGGAAAGCCAGCAACACTAATTTAATTCAAGATTAAAATCATTGATTGACAATTTTTTCAAGCTTTGACCTTTTGTTTTTCACGCTGCTATTCAAGGCAGCGATGTTGTGGAGGGTGCGGAAGACAAGTTCTGGCAACTTCCCCCACACCCATTCGATGTGATCCTCAGGCGTCATCGCATCACTTGCAATTTCAACCTGCAGTGAAGAGATTCTGGTTCTTGTTGGTAATTGGAATATTGATGAGGCTAGTTGAAACAACAATAATTTAATTCATATGTTTTCAACGTTTTAGTTGAAATCCTTGTTGGGCGTTTTGCAGAAACCGACCTGTCACATTTTGTTTTGGAGGACCAAGCACTACATGGCGGACACAGAGTACAACTTCTGTGCAGTCTATTATCCACGTGCAGTGGCACAGGTCAGACTCCCTTTGGGGCTGCCAGCAGGCTGGCCGCTATCATGGGGAGTCAGCCAGTTTTCAATAATGGGCTTGTGATACTTGAATTGACACCCCAGACCAGTGACACATGTAATTTCAATCATGTCCAGGCCATGATGAGTTTTCACTCCATCCCTCTTCCAAGCCATAATGGAAAGACATGACGTGTTGATTTGATTAATGCGACTCAGTTTCAGAGTTTAATCTAGAGATGTTGCGAAGGTTAGTCACCAACTATTTCCTGTTTGATCCTGAGCAATTGAATCGGGGATTTTGGCCGACACGAGTTTCAGTTTCAGTCAACCCCTGCTGCTGGTGGAGGCATAGCTCCCAGAAACAAACTCACTGATGATTTCAAAAAGGAGGTGCTGAAACACTTGCCTGCAATGAGAGACTTGAACTTGACTGCTGCTGCTGATTACATGGAGTCGTGGGTTCGTGGAGAGCTGCCATTGGCGCCATTGCTGGATGTGAGGGGGTGTCTTGACTTGCATTTGTTCTTTGTTTACCTCTCTGGAAGAAGTCACATTTAAACCTACTATTAACCAAAATAGTTCAAGGTGTGAGATGGGTTATAGTTGTGTTAGCTGTCTGTGGCTGATGTTGGTATCGATGGAGGTGTGCAGTCTTCAGCTCACCAGTTGGACCAGACCACAGTGCGCCCGCAGTGCAAGTCTTGGAGACGATTGGGAATCAGTTGAAGCCCCTTGCGCACGGTCTTTGGCAACCATTCTTTTTTCAAGTCGCATTAAGACTTTGGATCACAACGTTCCAGATTTCTAGCACCTTTGGACTGCCTGCCACTGATAGAACGTTCTGTCTTTGTCTCAGGTGAACCATTTTTGTTATATTTAGGGTTGCGTGAGCTGGATCCGATCCAGGTTTGCCCGACCTTCCAATGACAAAAAGCGAAAAGAACAAGTTACTATGTACCTTGCAAGTGCACGGAAGAGGATGGCCCTTGAAGCAGCAGCCCGTGCTTGGGCAAACGGTGTCCCGTGGGCGGAGGCATTGAAAATTTGCCGTCGTGCAATTGACAAAGCTGATGCGGTTGCAAAACCGCTTCCAAAAAGGAAGCCAATCCGCAGGTGATTTAGCACTCAGTGTAGCATTCCAGCACAAAGGATTCATGTCTGATCCAGATTTGTTGACAAGTCAAAAAAAAATGGGGTGCGGCAGTACCGTTTAAGGGGCTTTCATCCATGGAAAGTTCTTGCTTCATGCAAATTTAGGTTATCCTTCGGAAGGAAAAAAAACCACCAAGTGTCCGACCCACCCCTGGGTTTGACACATCGACACCTCATTGTGCCAGCCTGAGACTCTTGAGTTAAACAGCATATGAGAGAATTTGTGTGGTTTGGAAAGATCTGACGTTTTATTGAGTGTTGGTTTTCCAAAATCCGACACTCAGAAGATCAAATCCGACATCTCATTGTTGTGAACAAGGTGTCGGATTTTTAAAAATCCGACACTCAGCATATCAATGTTAGATTCTCCGTGTTTGGGTGCTCAGTGTCGGATTTTAAAAAACCCGACACTCAGAAAAATCAATGTGAATTTCCTTTTCGACAGGTTTCCCACAAACAGACGCTCAGCAAACCAAACCTGAAACCTTATTGATGGGCACCAGGTGTCGGATTCTTAAAACTCCGACACTCAGCATATCGATGTCAAGGTTTCGGTGTTGGGTACGAAGTGTCGGATTTTCAAAAATCCGACGCTCATTACTTTTTTCCAAGCATCTACAATTTCAAGTGAAAGTGTCGGACCGAGCCTCAATCCGACACAAAACCACTAGCTATTTCATGCTTCATTTTGTGTCGGGCCCGGGGCTGGGTTGGACACAAATTGGATTAGAGAGGAATGATGGGTGAAATTGAATTTTCACACGTGTATGAAATTGCTTTGATACAGGGGCTTTTTGTGTCTAGCCCACCCCTGGGTTGGACACATATCCATTGTCATTTTCAACTCTGAATTTGTGTCCATTTTTTGTGCTCTTGTTTTAGCTTACCAATTTTTGATGGCCCATGCATATTGAATCAATAAATTTTGGCAAGTGTCCATGTTCATGGTCCTTTCTTTGGCACTTATCACTGCCAATTTTCGAACCAATGTCCCGGGATTTGGAGACATGCCCAGGCGGTGTCGTCTTCATACTTTGCAAGGTGCATAAGGGCAGCTGTAAACACAGCCCAATGTTTGATCCAAACCCAAATTCGTTCTTGGCGTGAGGCCCGAAGAAAGCTTTTTGCAAAGTTTTGCAAGACTATATGTCACATTTCTGGTTGTGAAGTTTTCCTTGTCAAGCACCATGTGATTTCTAGGTTTAAAACAAAAAGAAATCTGAGATCAACATGGAACTTTCCAAACTGCAGTTAATAACAGTCTTTGAGGGGGAGGGGCCTGTTTGCCTGGCTTTCTCCTTGGGAACCAGCTTCCAAATATGATGTGCAATTTGTTGATCTGGCCGCGGCCAGGAATCTTACTGTCACCACGGCTTAGCATCCAACTTTGCGGCAGTGGTTTGCCAATTGCTCCTGAAAAAAGTGGCAGACCTGGTGACCTGGGTTCCGGCAATGCACTTTGCTTAGAAGAGTAAGTAAATATCTAAAATCATTCTATAGAGCCATTGGGTCATGTCGGTATAGACTTGTCGCCACCAGCTGCTGGCTTAGAGTCTCAGAGTTGGAGATTTTCCAAACCTTGGTCAACACTCCGTGTCACTATTGGGCTTGCATGGCCGGGAGGAAGCGGCCCTCCGGAGGAGGGGGTCAGCCCGTCAAGAAGGGCAAAGTTGATGAGCAGAAACCTTCGCACATCAAACGCATAACTGAGTGGTTGCTGTGGCTGCAGTGGAAGGATTGGGCATGTTCGAATTTGGTTACTGCCTTGTCTCATCTTTTTCCTCCATTCCATTGTGCCCGGGTGTCTTAGGTTCACCTCCATTGTGGTTCCGCAGGGAGGCCCTGACAAGTTCCTCATGCAGAAGTATCGCTCGGAGGCATCTTTAGTGAGAAATACTGTGCCACCATTGCTTCAAGTAAATATCTGAGTTGGATCATACATGTCACCTTGTGCTGTCTTACTTTGAAATTCTTTCGCAGGCCGATCTGATGGATTTTGCGGGGTGGCTTGAGTCCACCTTCCCAAGTTCAACAAGGCTGGCCAATTGCAGAGTTGACTTCGTAACAATTTAGTTCCTCAGTCTTTAAAGAATTGCCAGCTGTTTTTCAAATTCCGGCAACAATTTCTTGTTGCTGTTACGAAGTGATGCTTTGACCGTCGGCCAGGGTGCAGTACTCTGTGGATTTGTCTCCTGGAGGGAAGCATCTTCGCGTGTGGCAGCTGGGTTTCCGCACTGATTTCGGCTTGGCAGGAATGGTTGACCCGTTCGACATGGTCGGCCTCATTGAATTGGTTTTGGCCCATGGGTTACTCGGCTTTGGCTTGTTTTAGTTTATCAATTTAGCCAAGCCTGCTCTTAGAAGCTTCAGATTTTGAAAGTAATAGCTGATTTCAAAGTGCAGGCTGGCAAGACTCCAGTTGGTTGGGCACCTGAAAGAAGAAACAGAAGTCACCACAGAATCTAGCAATTTCCCATATTTTAGCACAGTGGTTTGGGCTTGTGCAGCCATCATGTTTTGTGTGGGCCAAGGTTTCGCACAGATCCCAATTACCCAGGGGTCGAGAAGCTCAACATTGTGAAGCCGATGCCTGCATGGTTGGAGACCCCCTACAAGCCGTTGCCAGTCCTGGATCCCAACGGTGGTTGGCTTACTAGTCTGATGTGTGTGGAGTGCTTGATGTTGGTAGCTTTCAGCCCAGTGCCAGGCACAGTGTCAACAGCAACCGTGTTTGCGCTGACACAAGGTGGTGATGAGCAAATTGCTCCGTTTTCGATCGCCTACGTGAAGGGGTGGCGACGTGCTTTGGCTTGCTTGATTTGCTGTGAGGGAGTTCGCAGCCTTGGGCTCTCCACTGACGAGCTCACTTCGGACTTCAAGGCGTTGTGTTTTAATGCTGGTTAATGGTGAAAACTGGTTGAGGTTGGAAGTGGTTCCACCAGACGAAATGTCATTTCTTCTTTGTGCATGTCGTGCAGGCATCACTTCAACTGATCCATGGAAGCGTCTGCAAGTTCTCAACCTCCAAAGAAGCAGTTTTCGCATCCAGAGGATTCTGCTGTTTTTGTGGGCTTTTTTCACTTCAATGCAAGCTGAAATTTGTTTCCAATCATATACTTTAAATTCTATTTGCATGTTTGGTCACACTCCTAAATTTGGGGCGCCTAACTTGGGCCTTGATTTTTTCAATTTCCAGGAGCTACTCTGTCACAAACATCAACCAGACGACCGCCGAACGCAATGAATTTCATGCGCCAGCTGGAGATCTTGAAGAAGAGTGGTGAAACTGCAGATTTTACCGTCACATCCTTAGTCTCTACTTTGTAGTTCGTCAGTGTTGCACAGCGTTGCAAGGGGCTTGTCTTTCCTCAACTTTTGGCGCCTTTCAAATTTGAAGAAGCCTTGCGAGGAGTGGGACAATGCTGCTGCAGTGGCACGTGCTTTTAGCATCGGTCCCAAGGAGAGTGCTGCAGTGTCAAACCTTCAAGCCCATGTGAGCCCCACTGTCACAGAGCTTCTCAAAGAGGCGACCAGGGGTCGTGGGATGCGTCTATGGATCACACATGACATGCTGGCGCGTGAGATGTTCAATTTGACTTGGAGCAGTGGACAGTCTGGCCCGCTCTGTGCTTGGGTGGTTGAGCTGACAAACAAACCGGATGACAAATTGGTTGCTTGGTCAAGCAATGATTTTGTCATACTTTGTGATGAACCGCATTAGAGAGTGGCTTCAAGAAACATGACTGATAACAGCTCATTAACTTTGAACAATCGACACAACACGCGCCTGCCTTAAATTTCCTTTGGATGCTGAGGCTAGGTTGTTCATCAGGCGCCTCACAAGTGACTGGGACCGGCAGCCTGCTGGAATGAAGCAGTGTTGGACGTACAAGACCGCTCTCCCAGTCCATGCCGCTTGTGGCGGTTTTTTGGCGATCATGGATCGTTTGCAGAGCTCCATCCCTCAGGCGGACTTTCAGAGCGTGGAGCAGCAAATCTGTGATCAGTTTGCGGTGGGTATTTTGGATGGTGACATACTTCACTTCCTGGAGAGCACAGTTCCCCCAGCGGATCTCAAGCAGGTGACCTTTGTCAGGACTGTAACAGTCACATGTTGAAACGAACTGTTCGAGCCATAGTCACAGGAATTTAAACTTGGAGTATCCTGGACTCTTAGCGTGAGCCCTTCTTGATCTTCATGGCACCAGGAACACCATCACAACGGTGGAGAATCGAGCCCAACGCGATGCAGAAGAACAAGAACGACTCCTTGCAGAAAAAGTCGCGGCAGCCACTGCCGACCAAGTGAAGCACAGGTTGGACCAGGATTTAAAAGTCTTGCGGGACAGGATCAAGGGGCAAGATCACATTGCCAAAGAGGCGGCTTTGGATTCAAAGTATTTGAGTCAGAGGCAAACGTTTCTTGCTTTCTGATTCAGGAAACTTTTATCATAAATACAAGGCTTTGGCTTTGACCACTTTGCATTAGGCAATCCTCAATATTCATCCTGCTTCGCAGGGTTCAGCTGAGCACACCCAAGCACATTGCCTAGTGGTCCGGAAGCAAGGGCATCGTTTTCTGTTGTTGTTCTTCTTCTTTCTTTCTTTCTTTCTTTCTTTCTTTCTTTTTCTTCTTGTCGCTGTTGTAAGTACCATACTAAGGTGCTTGGCAAACAATTTTTTCTGTGTCCCAAGCAAGTAGCAAACAATCACTTTCATATATATATATTATTAAATTCTTTACTATGCCGCATTGGTTTTGCAGTCAATGCGTGTGATGAAACTGGAAAGGTGACACCGAAGCAGAGTTTGCATGCCTATAATAAATATTTGAGCAATATTCACGATTTTTGACACGGCACAGGCACGTGCCGTTTATCAGACTGCATATCCTCTCCAAACATCAAGAGCTTCCGTGCAGTTGATCAGACTGCATATCCTCTCCAAACATCAAGAGCTTCCGTGCAGTTGATCAGACTGCATATCCTCTCCAAACATCAAGAGCTTCGCTGACCCCGTTCCAAGCCAATTTTCACTCTTAGCCACCCCTCCACATCAAATTCAGGGCCAGCTGCCGCCAATTTCAGCTTCATTTCCCGAAGTTGGCCCAAAGATTTTCAAAGGATGTTCACTTCAGAATAATTCTAAAACTCAGGTCAGGACCAAATACAGGCAGCAAACAACTTGAACACCCTCCAAAACAAATTGTGCATGCTACCTACAAGTAACTCAACGGGTGTCTGAACTTTAAACCTTGTTTTTTTGGTTGGGTTTGCGTGTGGAACCGCCCCCTTTTGTCCACCCCAAAAGTGCACTCAAACCCAGGTGGAAAAGAGTTGTTTTGTGCATGGACACCCACTGAGTAGGACTAAAAGCATGTTAAGACCTAACAGTTCATTTGTAACATTTTTTCAATGCAAAGCTGTATGCTTGGACATCTGACGCCCTAAGAAACACGCCATCACCGGCAAGCGGTGTGGATGGATTTTATAGTCACAAATAACAATCCTTTTTCACATGGGTGTGTCTCAATGAGCCCTTCTGCTGTAACTGAGGAGGGGACAGGATTTTACCAAAGATTTCATGGAGAAGCGATGCAAACTGGTTTATGCAGATGTCGCTGACCCAATGAAGGGAAATTTCTTCCCTGAGATTGCAAAGTTCGTCGCCAGGGTGACTCAAGACCATGAGGGGAACAATGTGCCACCTGGCTTTTAATCCTATGGTAAAAATGAACATTTTCATTGACCGGCATGTCGCTGTTTCAGCATCGGAATGCTTGCCTTTTCTATGATCAAAAGAAATGATTGTGACTGACTGATTTTATTTGTTTTTTTCTGGCTGTAGCCAAGGTTCGTTCTTGCAACTTTCGATTGCTGCATTTGGCCTAACAACACAATGTATGTGACCCAATGTGTGCAGACGCTCCAGTCAGTTTTGACTTCGTCACCAAAGAATGCAGCCCATGTTCAAGTACCTTTGCCCCACGCACAGACAAATGCGAAGGCCGTGGTGAAGCACCGCCGGCTGCTGGAGGACCAGCTCATGAATGCATCGCTGGATGTGTTGTGGCCTGTCACTTTGTCCTTCGACAAATCCCAGTTGTCAGCGGGAGACAAACGTGCGCCATGGCATCCTTGCTTGTTTGTCACCGCAAGCTGTCATGAAACGTCTCCATGGCAAGACAGTCACGCTGCCCAGACTCGAACAATTGGTCCATGTCCCCTGATCCGGGTGGCTGACATGCTGGGCTTTGATGAAACTATGCGCCCAGGTGCCTCTGCTCGTACCGAACAGAGTTTAGGCTGCAGGCATCATTTTTTTTGTGTCATTGAATCATGTAGAGGTTCCAAAATTAAAATTCTAGTATTTGGGTTGTCAATGGATTCTGTATGTAGCCCAATGGTCAGGAAGGGTGTTCCAGCACATGCGGCCATTCTTACTTCCTACCTTCGTGGGCTCAGCTTTGGCGATGGGGATGTAGTTGTGGTGGCTGATGTGCTTCCCAACAGGTGCTTGAGAGGTTTGTTTCAAGCGCTTCAGTTTTTCAATCTGTTCCTGAGTGACGCCCTGCACATTGACACGTTGCATCCTTTATTTTTAGTTCCCTGAAGGCATGCTGAATTTGGAAGAGCAGCGTTGGAAAGGATGCTAGATGGGAGCAGAGCCACACCTCAGATGTACTACGTTGGCTGCTTGAGGCCTGATCAGGGCGACGTGAAGATTGCCATGGAGAAGGTGGTTTACGATGACTGGGACCGTTCGCCAACGGCCCCGGCCAGATCAAGACCAGTGGAGCCACAGCCTGATCCGAACCTGCTGCTGTTGACTTGGTCCAACAATTCAGCTTCCTTTCCGGATTCTGTTCTCCAGAAATTTCCTGAAGGGACGACGGCCCGTGCAGAGATTCTGGAGCTCAAGCGGGCCTTTATCGAGGAGTTTGGTGAAAGCATGACCAGTACCAATCAAACCAGTCCAGGCAGTTAGCCGGCATTGAGGAGGGCCACGGGCCGGCCTGACTTCAGCATCGATGGGGGCGCAAAACCGCTTGACCTCGCCAGAGATTTGAATCTTCCACTGGTTGCGAGCAGTGACTTTTCTGTGCAGAGGACCAGGGTTGAAATTTCCTCCCACGCCTGAGCATTCCCTGACCCAATATTTTTGAGTTGGACGGCACAGCATTCAAGCAATTCAATCCAATTCCTGTCTGATGCCTGAATATATGCAGCAACTTTATGTTGTTAGTACACGGTTGCGGTTTCTCATGTTTTATTGGAGTATTAACCGTTCTCCTTGGAATCTCAAGATTTTAAAGCTGCAAAGCAAGCAGGTATTACATGCACTAAAAGCACACAAACACTACTACCCATAGCAGTTGGGTCCAGCCAGGAAGTTGTTTGTGCTCAGAGGGTCTGATGCGACCAAACGCGACCAAATGATATCGTAGAAGATATACAACAGGTTCAACATATTATACATATAGTATATGAAAATAGAACTAGTCTGTCAGAAAACCTACAATAATATATGTATATATATATTGTATATTATATTTATATGTATATATAAATAATATGCTTGAATTCCTTTATTATATATTTATTATGTAGACATGTATTCTATGATTGAATCTATATATATATATATATGTATACATATATGAATAAATGTATATCCCTAATGATAAAATCCAAGTAATATAAAATCCAGATTATTATATATATATATATTATATAATATATTATAATAATATATATTTGTTTTTTTTGCCATTTGTCTATCTCGCTGGAAAGCCAACCTGTTCAAGCTGGGCCTTCTATATATAGTATTATTTCTTGAAAATTGAGACTTTGACAATCTCACTGGAAAGCCAGCCTGTTTGTGTCATGGCATTTGCATGATTGCTTGCTTGCAGGAAGGGCTATTGTGCCAGCAGCCGCAACAAGCCTGCTGTGGTGATCGGGGAGGACTACTCTATGTGGATCGGGAATGAAACCACTAAGTGGATCGGGAATGAAACCACTGAGGAGCTGAAGCTGGAATGTAGCGAGATTTGCGGTTTCAACCTTGGTGCCTATGAGGAGAAAGCTGTCACAGGCCTGAATTTCGCAGCAATGGCCCATTGCTAACTTAAACTTCAAACTATGAGTTTTCTGTGCTTTAGCTCATGTACTCCAGTCCTTGACAGCTGCCCTTCAAGGTTTGGGTGAGTCGGAGCTCTCGGGCATTTGCTTTCGCTTCCCGAATGATTTGGCATTGGTTTCGCACGAGAGGAAGTGCATGAGCTTGGCTGAGTATAGCCACATTTGCTGCACAGTTCATGGGGTCGCAAGTTTTGAGCTGGCGAACCATTTGATTGTGCAAAAGCAGTACCCGCCTGCATCTCGGTTTGAAGAACAAACCAAGCCATTCTGGGTGTAGAAGCAGCAGCAGCAGCAGCATGGGTTGTAATTGTTTCACATTCAAACTATCTAGACTTTCCCAAACAACACTTTGAAGTAGCTGTCCCATGTTCAAGGATGACTGCTGTCATTTGATCTCCTTCAAGTTTAAAAAAACATGTGGTAGAATCGAAAGCTTTGTTGCATCTTGCTTCCAAGGCGGAGCAGGGACAAGAAGGATTGCCCGTGCCGTATAGATTCCAGGTCAGCCCGGCTGCAAATGGCAAGTGCAACGTGTTCAAGCCGAATGTGATCTCGAGCGACAGTGGTGCCGTCAGGCTGTTTTGGGGGTGTTCTCTCGCCAGGGAGTTGAATGCCTTCTTTCTGTGTCTGCATCTTGCTGCTGTCCCGCTTTGAAATCATGAGAAATGAAAGTGGCAATGTGGCAGCCTCTCTAGGTTGACCATTTGGTTTGCTGCATTAAATTATCTTCTTTGATCATATGTCCTGCGGTTCAGTCCTTGAGAGTCAAAACAATCAAGCTCCCCCTAAAATTTGCTGACCATATCACTTTCTGTAGGCATGCAACCATTGGCGCTTTGTATGTTGGGCACATGGACAAGCTTCCGAAGACACAGTCTGCATGCACCGTTTGGGAGGCGTGACAAGCTGCGCCATTTGGTTTTTCCAGAGTTCAGCAGTTCATTTATGGTTTTCCAGGGATTGATTGGGCTGCGTTTGTCAGTCAATCTTGTTTGTTGCAGGTGCAGCTGCAGACCGGATCAGGCACAGCCCGAATCATTGGCTTGAAGCCCAAGATTTTCCTGACAGGAGCATTGACGTTGCCTCCCAACACTTGGGCAAAAGTGTCCTGAGTGAGTGCTTACATAGCTCTTAGATTCTGAAGAGAGATGCTGGCAGTTCGGGAGTGTGTAAAATATGTTCGCCCCAGTGGCCAAGTTTGGGCTTCATACTGAGGTTTGCAATCCATAGTCGACCATATAAGACCATATTTTTTTGTTTCTTTTTTGGAATGGCCGGCATAATTTGATTCAGATTCAGTAGCTGCATTCAACTCTTTGAAGGAATTGTTTGCAGTGACCCAGCCAGCTTTCCGCAGGGATTTAGCTCCGAGCTCATCGCCAGAGCAGTGACCCAGCCAGCTTTCCGCAGGGATTTAGCTTCCGTTGTCACTGCAGGGATTCTAAGATGAGCGTTTTCCCAGCGGTGCAGTATCTATCAGATTCAGACACCACTGAGGCTGGAGCTGCTGTGTAGATTTTAAAGCTGACACCATGCCAGTTCGCCCATCATTTGTTTTTAGGATACTGTCACTGTGCCGCTTCAACAAAAATTCTTTGAAGTCTGCAGGTCATGGGTGGCACGCCGACTCCGAAAGGCAAGGCCAAGGCCAAAGCCACCCCGGAGAAGGGTGTGCCCAAGAAGCGGCCTGCTGCTGCTGCAGCTGCTGCCACAGAGGCAGATTCTGTTGAAGAGGGTCCTGAGAATACTCCCAAGCGCAAGGCGACACCAAAGAAACCAGCAATGAAACGCCCAGCTGCAAGTCAGAGTGCTGGTGCTGTTCTGAAGCGCCCTAGCATCCGGGATGCAGAGGAGGGTGCTGCAGATGGTGAGAGGGGAGACGCGGAAGCTCCAGCTCCTTTGGAGGGTAGTGCGCCAGTGGCTCCTGAAGTTGACGCTGCAGCTGCTTTGGAGGGTAGTGCGCCAGCAGCTCCCGAAGTTGATGCTGCACCTCATGGAGATGGACCGCCAGCCCGCCGATCTGCGCTGAGACGACCTGCTGCCGCCTCCCAAGCTGTCAGAGGCGCCAAGATCTTTGACATCTTTGTGCTGTAGTTTTGAAATCTTTAAAGTTTAGACCTCGAGAGATTTTTGAAACTTTTAGACAAAATTTGTGCCGAGTCTATGTCAACTTTGACAGCAAGCAAGCTTGCAGGTGCCGATAGGAAGGTCTCTTCTGTCTACTACTACAAGCGCTCCAACAAGTTTGCTGTCAAGGTTGATGGAAAGGAAGTTTTTCAGGCTTTGCCAGTTCGTCCAATTTTGTGATTCTTATGGCACAATCTTAGGTTGCAGCCTGTCTCACACCACTATTCTTTTTAGTGTTTTGATTCTGACAGGTTGGAGGCAGCATCCAGGGGCGTTTTGTTGACAAGAAGTTGAGCCAGGAGGCTGCAGCACCGACCCCAACTATCGCAAGCCATGGTCCATCACATTCTTTTGTCACCCGCTTTGTTGCCATTGCCATTGACCACTGAGGATGTTGGCCGCGCGCTTCTGTTAGAGGGCAAGTCTGTAGGAGAAGTTCGGGACGTGATTGTGACCCACTCAGCACCATGGAATGCTACTTTTCAAATTGAACAAAATAACCATGTCTGGTACAACCCTGAGGCTGAGATGCAAAAGTCCATTGACCAGGCGGCTTTGGATGCAGGCGACTTCTCTCAATGTTCCATGCTTGCCGCCAAACAATCAAATTAGATCTCTTGAAATGGAACGGTTGTTGACTGAGTGGCTTTGTCCTTAATCAGTGACCATTGGGCCAGGACAGTCATCATCTGGAGCAGCACCAAGCAAGGTTGCTGAAGCAGCAGCAGAAGGTTCTCCTGAAGATGATGTGGTCGCAGTTGAGCCAAGGGCTGTTGCAACAGGGAGCGCAGATCTGCCAGACGATCTGGCCGAAGGGGGGGAGGAAGAGGCTCCCGAAAACGATGAAGTACAGAATGTCGACTGATATCAAGATCCAAGGTCCAGATTCGAGGGATGTCAAACAGCGAGCTGAGATGAGCTGAGAAAGTGCGAGCCGCCCAATCATGTCGCGATGTCCCATGCTGGATCAAAATCACACCTTCATTTCACATGCAATGTGGCAGCCTTCGTTATTTTTTCCGCTGTGCCAATCAGTGATGTCTCGTCTTGTCTTGTCACATGTGTTTGGGGCCATTGCCCATTCACAGGCTCTAGGGTTCACAGATCATCCTAGGAGACGCAATAGCCATTAGAAGAGACAGTTGATGGCAGCCATCCTCCTCAATATTGTGCTGCTTTTCCAGTCAAGTTCTTTCAATTTCCACCTCGTACCGTTTACGTCATGGTGGAGTTGTCCATTGTGCAGCTGCTGCTGCGATGGATGTGGTGCAGCGCTGAGAAGGATCATGGCAGCGCGATGGCTCTTGTTGAGTCTCTGAGAGATTGGTGCTTGATGGTGCTTCTTGCCTTGGGCCCATGGCCATGCCTGGACAAGATTGGAACTTTGTATGTATGCACAGCCCAAGCCCTTGCAGTCAAACAAAATCGACTTCCTTTCCCCCAGACTTTGGATGACTTGGTTGATGTCTCCGTGGACCAAATCAAGGCCGCCGAATTGCAGAGGTCACTCTGGGGCATTCGGCACGCCCCAGACGCTTCCACGATCAAGCTGGCTGGAACACACGTGCATTCAATCCTTTTTGATTTGCTCAGCTATTACTTGGTTGATGAAGCGGGCGATGGCGGGAGGAAGACCCCAATTGCACACTTTCTGGATGAATGTTTGTTTTGGTGTGACTCTGTGTTAGCCATCCTGGATGCACCGTGTCCGCCTGGTGCTGATGGAGGCGAGGATGTGAAAGGCGCACACAATGAAGCGACCAAAGCCTGTGTACAGTAGTTTGGGATTTGCACGGCTCCCTTAAAGTTACAGCAGCTTTGAATTTTTCAAAAGGCGCAAGGCGCATTGTGTGATCATGAGCAACTTGAAGGCTCATTCTCTCTGTTCAAAATGGCGCTCCAAGTCCGTTGGACCGCGTGCGTTTGCACGCTTGGACTCGTGTTTGGACCTTTGCTTGTTGGTTTTTCCTTTGACAGGTACACTATGTTGAGATATAGGGGGTTTACATCAATGAATTAATTAGATAATACTTAGAATAAAATTACTATTATTGTATTTATTTGATATTTTTATATTATTGTAGCTAGTAGCATAGAATAGGCCATTTTGGCCCAAGTGCCAATGTTTCAACAGCTGAGCAAAGCACCTTGGTGCAGATATAAAATGTTTGTTAGCATGCCCTTGCGTTGGAGCTTGCATCAGATTTTTTGAGTGTTGCACTCAATCAAACTTTTTCTCCTCCCCTTCCTCTCCCATGACGAGCGATGAAGCTGTCATGATGCTGATCCATACCCTGGAGCGTAGGGCTATGATGTCAGAAATTTGGAAGGAATCTTATCACATTTTACCACCTGGATCTTGGCAACCCGGATATTTTTGGCAACCCGATTGCAGGAAAAATTCCTTTGAAGAAGAATCCGTACTTCAGGCAAGATTGACTGAAACGACAGCATATGCCTATCAACAATTTAACTTCCTGGAAAGCACCACTCATCAAGAGATGATGTCGATGACCGAACAACTCCAGATGCTGAACTTTGAGTTACAGGCTGCACAACAAGAAGATGAAGGTGCAACCTACAGGATCGAAGAGTTGGAGAGGTATCAGACTATGTCAAATGAAGCTGCACCTCACTTGGAATTTAAATATTCACGACTACGTTCGGAATTCGATGAACAAATGGGACAAGCGAACGCAATTATGGTGCATGTGGGCGCTGATGCGAATGCTCACATTAATCAACTCAGACTGGAACTAGAAAACGCAGAGATGAACGCAAAACAAGAAGCTCTGGCAGTCGGCTATGCTAACGACCAGACATGTGCCTTACAGATCGAGATGCTCGAGGTTGCCAATCAGAACCAGACGATGAAGCACACCATGGCCATGAATGTTAGACGACTGGAAACTGAGCTCGATGCTGCTGACATGAAGAGGGACGAGATCATGAAGGAGTTCCGTAGTAACATAAGATCTGAACATGACCGTTATGCAGAATGTGAACATCACTTAGCTTTGGAGGAATCACAACTTCGACTGCAGGTGATTCACAATGAGAATCTACAATCTAGACTAGCGACTTCTGAAAGCAAGATTTCTGAAGAATCTCTAGCTGAATCAAGTGGTATGCGGGACATGAGGATAATGGGACTACGTTCGGAACTACACATGAAACAAAGTCTTTTAGATCGAATGCAACAACAACTGACTGAATCGAAGAATCAGTGTCATGAACTTTCCTGTCAACAAGCCAGAAGATCCTCGCCAAGCAGATCACCGCATGGAGGAGTATTATATGAGATGTACATGCAAGCCGTGCGTGAGCGTGACAATTTAAAGGAATCCAAGGCTGAAGTTGACAAGTTGTACTTGCAAAACAGAACTGAACTCATTGATACTGAGAACCTGCTCAAAACCTTCCAGCAACATTTCGATGAAACTGGTAAGAAGTATCAAGATGCTTTGAACAAGATCGATCACATGAGTAGCAATCCGAATGTGACGAGTAACTTGTTCGACAGTTTGCACAATGAAATCAATGACAGGGATACAGCCATTGCTCGCCTTCATACTGAACTTGAAGCCCAAAAGGATTCTCTTGAGCGTGCTCACAGGGATGCAGGTAAATCCATCAAGATGTTGAACGATAGAAGACTCGTGATCAAAGGTGCGACTGACTATTCCATTCCTGAGAGCCACTTGACTGAGATGCATCAATTGGCTAGTGAACGTTTCGCCGAGGTAGAAGAGATGTCGAGCACCATTGCTGCCCT